GCAATGAATGAGCAGATGCACTAGATGGCCCATTCACAGAAGTGGCTAAAACTGAGCCCAGAATTCTGAGTTTAAAGCCCCACAGGGAAACTAGAGAAAACCACACAACCAGCTGGGCTGAGGCCGGGCTTTGCTGAAAGGGTGGGTGCAATGTCTCAGAAGTCAGATGAGGAAGGAGACAGGGAAAGAGGCAAGGCCTGGGGTTTGCAGCCCTTACCCTAGGCTGGGCCTCATGTGTCACAAGCAGCTCTTTTTTGATGGAGATCTCCAAGGAGAGAGCAGCTCAGGGATTTGCTTGCTGTGGTCTAGAAATGGCCTGGATATAAACCTCTTCAGTTTTTTATGGGTTGTTGTGGAAGCTGAGAAAACTGATCTCAAAGTTGCGAGATGTTTTCATATTTGTTATTACGATCAAATCCCCAAGTAATCACATCAGCCTGTGGCTACCAATGAACTCCTGTTAACATCATGAACCTAGAAATTCCAAGATCAAGGTGCTGGTTGATTTGGTCTCCAGTGAGGTCTCTCTTCCTGGCTTGTTGATGGCTGCCTCCTCCCGTGTCCTCTAACGGCCTTTTCTTGATCCATGCATGCAGAGGGAGAAAGAGGAACTATGACATCTTCTATGAGAATGTCAAGGTCCAAGCCAAGAACATCGCCCTTCAGGACCAACGGTACTTCCAAGTGTCAGCAGAGCTGGCAAGAGTGGCCATCTTCCCATTTCTAGGTTCAAAGCAGTACTGCATAGACCCAGAAAAATCAGCTCAGCTCTTCTTTCTCTATCAAGTCTAAGCTACTCTAAGACTCCAGGCTGGAAACAGAGAAGACCTTTATACTATGGTTAAATCAACAGATATTCCCAGCCTCCTCTCTTGCTGCCTCCACTAGAGAGGTCAGTCAAGCTAATATTGATTTTTGGCCTTAAATAAAGCATATACGGCTCAGTGAGAGTCCAGATTGTGCTTCCAAAAGATTTTAGCTTTCCCTGACAGATGAGCCTGCCACTGGACCTTTTTGCTGTGGCCCTGCCTTCAGTGAACATGGACAAATGCCTGTAAATTCAACAGCCATCTTGGGATCGTGACAAAAAGACCAAGGGATTCCTGCCTCTGAAGGCTTGAGCCCCTGTACCGGCTTTGGACTGCATTCTTGCAGCGTTTTGGTTATGAGAGAGAGAGAAAAAAAAATCAAATGCTTATTTGTTTAAGCCACCATCTGTCAGTGATGAAAGCCAAGAGCATGCTCCTCCCTGTTACAAGTGGGACTTCTGCGCATTGTGTGCTGATACTATGAACCCATCTCTTGTAGTCCAAGTGGTTCATTCATAAGTCACAGGGTGGACATTGGTCTTGAGTCATCACATGCGGCCCTGCCTGCCATTTGCTGCTCCTGGAGGAAAGAGACACCAAAGGCAGGCAGAGGCATCTGAAGCCCGTTACCTTTGGTGGCCCTGGTGCTAGGACCAAATCTGCTATCAACCTCCTTCTAGCACCGTGTCCTGCCTCTGGGTGCTTGGTACGTCCCTACGGAGACATGCAGAGGTCTGGAACAGCCCAGCCCATTATCTTGGCCCTCACAGTTGAGGACCCAAAGAAGGGACCTCCTGAATTGACCTTCCAGACCAGGACTGTGGGTGGCCCTCTTTGAGGCTGCTACCTCCTAAGAGAGAATGTGATCAGGAATGTAGTGAAGAAATGAGCCCCTCACCTCTTGTGACTTTCAGAAGGATCTTTTTTTTTTTTTAAATAAGTTGCATTTTATCCAGTTCTAATAATATTGGTATTTAGTTCATAAATATAGGATGAAATTTCAAAGAAAAGACAAGGACTTATAAAGCCACAAAATTTTGAGAAGCTGATGGCCTATTTTGAATAACCAAACCCAAACATCCACCAAAATGTAAATATTCCCTCGTGGAATTTGTCCTGTTGTTGTTTTAAGCCACACAAGACAGATTCTTAGGACTGAAGCCTGAGGTTGTCTGTGCACTGAGAAGGACCTGAGACCGGATCAGGGAGGGCTGATGGGAAGGAGGCTGGGGAGGGGGATTCAAAGCCCAAAAGACATTAAATAAAACATTTGGATGGAAAACCAAATATACCACCATCTCGCAACACGGGTATCCCAAATATTCCTTCTTGATGGGCGTCTTATCTGCAACAAAGCAGAACACATTTGTTAGTACCTCTGTGAAAGTGTGGGGAGGGGTGGAATGGAAGAGAGCTGGATTGGGAGGATCCTCCAGCAATGAACAAAGGATGGAGAATAGCCATGATTACTCACTGTGGTCATGTCTCAAATGTGACAGCTATTTTACTTGGCATGCTAGTTTTATATTTCCATATTGAAAAAAAAAACATTTATAAGGGCCTTTTCATAAAGTTGGAAACGTAGAGTTGAACAAAGAAGTTTCCAGAAGGAAGGAGCTGGAATTGTTCAACAGGAATTCTCCAACTTTTTAAGATTTTTAGGAAATTAATTTCTATGATTCAGCTGAGATCACTATTAGGTATGTGGTGCTACTTTCACAAATGTGGGGGAAAAAAAGAGAGAGAATGTTTAAAGTGAGAAAAAGCTTTTATTTTGTCATTAGAAAGGCTTGATGTAAGGAAGCAACTGTCCCTTCCTCCATTTTTCTCGCTCATGGTTTCTTGAGTGGGCACTGCTGACATTTAGGCTGGGATACCAATTGTTGTCAGAAACTGTCCTATGCATTACAGGGTGCTCAGCAGTATCCCTGGCCTCTACTTTCTAGATGCCACTAGCATCTCCCAGCTGTGACAATCACAAATGTCATTGCCAGAAGGCCTCTGGGAGACAAAGTCACCCCCAACTGAGCATCCCTGCTCTGTATTAATGCATCTGTATAATGGCAGGGTCATTGGTCTTGATGGGAATTCTACTCTTAAATCTCAAGGAATGTAAATGAGACCCATGTAGGTAACTTAGGGCAGCCTTTGTTAAAATATTTTTCTTCTTATTTCTTCTAATATCCAGTAATGCCAGGACCCCATGTTCTCTTTCCCCAGAGAAATGCCCTTTCCTTCCTCTATCTCTGTCCTCCCACTGCCTCTAGACGCCTCTGGACACATCATGACCCTTGCTTGCTACCTCCTCTTAAAAAGAGAAGCTTGTAATTTATTCTTGCCCCTTAGAATCTACCCGTGTGGCTTTGCCATTTCTAATCCTCTCATTCTCTTGATTTTGCATATAAAGTCCCACAGATCCGGCCTGGACCCTGCGAGCTCTTCTGTGCAGTTGTGTGTGGGTGGGTGGGAGGAACCAAGCAGCCCAGGCAGCACCCAATTTAGCAGTGGGGAGGAGGCCGGGAAAGGCTCCAGCACTTGCATATGAGCTACAGATTTTTTTTTCAGGCTGCTCACAGATGTGCAAGAAGATGTAGCATCTTCATTTCTCTAAAATTGTTCTTCTCTTCCTCTGAGCTTCCAGCCACTGACTAGAGGGGAAACAGTTGGATGAAACAATTTAAACAGACAAGTTAGGTAAATGGTCCATCTTTTTAGGTAGAAAAAAAGAAAAGGAAAAAAAAAACTTAGTCTTTCAGGTTTTTCCATCCTCTTTTTCTGTATTTTGGAGATGGTGTCTGGGTCTGCGATGGAGTTTTGGCTGATGGACTGTGTAGAGACAAAGACAGGATCCTCAGAGCCACTCAGTATCTTCTGCATTCTTTTGATGGGTGCTGTGGTGGGCGGTGTGGATGCTCCCTAGTTGCACCTTTGAGGGTGAGACTGGTCCCATTCCTGAGAGTTTTGTGTGTACCTGCGTTAAGGCTGTAGCCACCATATCTGTGATCTGGGCCACTTGGCTTGGAAGGACCTGCTTGTGTTCCCTGATGTCTGGGTCCCTGGTCTGACGCTGCTCCAGACCCTGCATTCTCCAACTAGCTCCTCCTTGGAACATTGACCTGACCTGACTCACCTTTCCCTCAGGATGGCCAATGCATGGAGGCCTGTTGGCCTCTACTTTGGTGCAGGGGGGAACTCCTGGGTCCAGTCTATTCTATAGGATCAGTGAGCAGCCTGGAAATTATATTCAGCCCTTGTCCCAGCAAAACCATGCTGCAGTCACTCCCAGGGTGGTGCCAGGTAACAGGAAAGGGAACTCCCAAGTCCCAAAGTCGAGGTCTTCAAGCCTTTGCCTTTCCTCACACACTCACCCATTCTCCTGTGGCTGAGGATCAGTAGGTGAAGATGAGACTCACCTCTCAGAGCTGGCCTATCCCTTCTCTCCTCCTTCTTTCCCAGACAGATCACTAGGCTGGATGGGGTGGGTTTTATTCTTTCTCTTCCCATCTATTTCAGGACTTCCCTTCATAAAGCTCCCTGATCAAGGTGGCTCTTGATATGCAAACAAAAGGGCTACATAAACCTAGAACATTTCTCTCTGTGTCTTAGAAAGCCTAGCTTTGAAAGCTACTCTCTGGCTGAGAAGCCAATCCTATTTAGAAGCAGATAGTTTGCTTCCCCGACTCCTCTTTCTTTGACACTTCGATCTTTGCATTCCTTCTGAAACAATTCTCAGCCTCCCTGGAGAAGTAGCAGAGAGAGTCGATATAAAAAAATTAAAATAGAGGCAGCCTGTTTGGATATTTCAAAATTCTATTGCCACCATGACATGCAATGATAATTTATCTACCACATATCACATTGCAATGTGGTTGTTCCATTGAGGCTACAGCCTGAGACCACATCCCTGTGGGTAGATCTGTCTGTCCAGTCAATGGCCAGAAGAAGTATAGGTCCGCAGAAAGGAAACCAGAACTCTGAGGACAAGCCTAATAAACAGGTGAAAGAGCACTTTGACATCCTGAAGGTCTGGAACATCAGAAGGAGGACAGTCACCCAGATGTGGGCTGATTTTCTCTCCCAACGAGAGCCAGGCCAGACTCTTCAAAGGGCATTTCTTCATTGGGTCATGCTTCCCCGACTCTACAATCTGAGAGATTGGTGTAATAAAATCTTTATAATGGGAAGACCAAATTAGGAATAGAAATCTTTTATTTTTGCCAAGTAAGAATGTTTACAACAAACACCATTTATCTATTTGTATCGTCTATGTATCTTAGTGATTCTGCTTTAAGGAAGGCATCATTTACTGACAAGAGGGAAAGCCACTTGGGATGCCTAAAATGGCATGAGCTACAATCCGGATCAGAAGCAGGGAAGGAGACACGCAATGTCTGTTCTTGAGGTGGTAGGTGGTATTCTCCTTGGCCTACAGGGGCTATGGGGGACAGGACTGAAAGGAGGTGGTAGGATGTCATGGGATCCTTGAGTGGCAGGTGAGAAATTAGAACATCATCTTAGAGCGAAGCTTCTTGTGCTTTCTAGCAAAGGAAACTGGTACAAAGAAAACAATGCTTGGGAATTTAAGTCCGAGGTTCTGTACAGCTTCTGATGGAATTCCTGCATTTTGAAGAAGAGAGGTTAGAAGAAGGAAAGCCATCAAGGAGAGAAAGTGTGGAACCTATTCCCACCTTGAGCTGAAGGGTAATATTTGGCGGGAGACAAAAGAGCCACTTTTTCTGTATCTGTTTGCTACTTCATCTATTGATGACTGCAAAGAAAGGGGTGATTTTAAGACTGCCACAAATATGTGTAGTAAACTAACAGACTTTTTAAACAGCTTAGACAACTTCTATGTCATCTTCACAGAACTTAGTGCCTGTTTATGCAGGCCTTCTGCCTTGAGTTACCTTGTCTTGTGTCTGTAGTCTTATTTGGCTTGTATTTACCCTTCTTCTGGATCACTTACCACAAATTGGTTATTTTATTATCTTGAGCATTTCAATAAAGTCTGTTCCCCCCCCCCACATCAAACTGTAATGTGCATAAGACCAGGATCCACTGTTTTCCTCACTAGTATATCTCCTGCACCAAGCCCCACATATAGTAGGTACTCAATACATATCTGTTGTCTGAGTAACTCAGTAAATGAATAAACTCAAGGACCTCCAGCAGGAGTAATCGACATCATCCTCATCGAGTACTCCTTACTGCATGCCTTCCTGTCGGCGGTCCTGCAGGGTAAGCTTCTTAAAGCCTCAATTATACACAGACAGATGGATGCCCGGCACTGCTACCGGAAGTGGTCTTGGAGGTTCCTGACAGCTTGCTTTCCCCTGAAGCATGGTGCTAGCATAGTGCCACCTGTTGGATAAAACAGAGAATCCAATTTTTTGTACAATCTCATTTTCTCTTTACAAATAAACAGAGTCCCATCAACGTTTTGAAGATCTAGAATCTTCTTTGGCATTTAAAAATAATCTACATTTGGCTTCATTTCCTCTGTTAAGCTTACCGTTTTCTTATTTTTTTGTCTCTAAAGCCCTAGTCTTATTTCACATCATTTCAGATAAAGGAATCATGATAACCTGTCAAACTTTTGTTACATAAAGTAACTGGTTAATGGAAGTATTAATAGACATACCTTATGTGCCACATAGGGACCTCCTGAAGACACAGTTATTTATGACAGAAAAACTCTCTATAGCCAGGTGGGATTGCACACATCTGTCATCCCAGTGACTCAGAGGCTAAAGCAGGAGGATTGCAAGTTCAAGGCCAACCTCAGCAACTTAGGGAGACCCTGTCTCAAAAATAATAATAATAAATAAATACATAATAAAAAGGACTGTGAAACTGATTCAGTTGTAATGCCACTCTGGTTCAATTCCCAGTACCAAAAAAAGAAGCACACTATTCAGTAATGGCATGGCAATGCTTTCATTGATGAGATTATTGAGAAGAAACTTCTAGAACATGCAGCTCAATTGCCATTATTGCAAAAATTTGTCATACTGGGAAACATGAAAATAATGGTCAGTAGACATGTGACTGAAGAGGCTACTGATCCTGCTTTTATGGGGCACATGCATTTTTGACATTACACATGAAATGCACAGGCCCATTTTAGGAGGAATGCTCATTAAACCACGTTGAATTCTCCCGTCTCTCACGGTAGTCCCCTCCTGTCAGTGTTAAGGTGGAGTTTTTGTTGGCTTGCTCGTCTCCTCTTTTGGACAGATTACCAAACGGCTTAAAGTCCTGTGTTTTGGTTTTTGATATTTTACTTTTGCTTTTTCTCTGATTACTGGTTCCCTGTTGGCAGTGCGCCTTATGATCCTTTTATCTGAGAATGTGGGGGACACTGTTTTCTTCTTACAGATTTCCAGGAAATATTTATATATCAACTACGGGACCCATTTGTATGTATTGTAACATGCTGATATTGTCTCCTAATCGTGTGTGTGTGTGTGTGTGTGTGTGTGTGTGTTGGTGTGTGTGTGTAGCCTTGTGTGTGGTATTTTAAACACCACAGAGATGTCACATTTTACGTTTCCATGCTCTGTCTTTGTCTTTGTGATAATTTCTATCATCACTCTGTGCTCAGAACACCCTTTTTGTTTTGGGTAACAAACACAGATATACTTGGTTTTAACTTTGTTTTTCTGATGTTTTGTTTCCAGACTTTCTAATTCATTTTCAGATGGATGTTTATATATTTGAACCTTGCATCACGTGTTGGCTCCAAGTAAGCCACAACCTTAATACCATTTGCTAAAAGGACTGTTCGCTTTCCCTAGCTTTCTGTCTTTTCCTTTAGTACCAATGAATTAGTGTATACATGAATATAAATTTTATAGCTCTCTTTTTTAATCAGCTTGCTGATTATTGTTGCAATACCAGACGTTTTTAACCACAATAACTACTTAATAACTTTCAATGTTCAAGTCTTCCTTATTGCTGTTCCCTTTGCAATTTCTCATACCTATTCTTATTTGCTTTTTGCTTTTCTTTCCAAATAAACTACTAAAATCATTCTGCTATTTCTCAAATTACAACTTTTAGGATTTGATTCACCCCTTTCCATTCTATTCAGTAAGTGATTTTTTTTAAAAGAATTTAATGAAGAAGCTAATAATATTGACCAAATAAAAATGACAGCAACATTTAAAAATGAATGATTTCTTATATTTGCAAGGCACCTTAAACTTTAATGGATTATCTCTGTTTATAGTATCCATCAAGGATCTTCAGAATACTTGAACCTAAGACAGCGAAGGCAGGTACAAAGAAAGGAAAAATATCTCTAGTACAAACCAGGAGGGGAACAGGATGGTTTAGTACAGTGGAGGTTCAGAATCTCCTTAATTCAAATCAGAAAATTAAATGTTATGTAAAATGTTAAGGCAGAGATTGGGAAAGGGGAATCTGGGCTATTTAAAAAGTTATGGGCTTAGACTGCTTCATACTCTATAATAGGACACAGCAGTGTCCACATCTAATAGGCAGCAGTTTGGCATCTCAGTCAAGTGTATCTGGTTCTGGGCCTATGCTCCGAGGATCTGAGAGCCTCTGGGTTGGATAACTAACAGCCTTCACAGAAAAAAAGTTGGGGCATGATAAAGTAAATCTGACATACTATTAAAAACTGCAGTTAAATATAAATTTTATGATCATAATGATAATCTGTAAATGTCTATCATTTATATTACTGGAAATAATTAATAAATTTTAAATAAAAACTATTAAGGTCATTTAAGTTGGTGAAGAGTTTGAATATTGAGTGAAATCAGTTTGTTATATCTATAAGTTGTATTTAACATTTATTATTTCTTAATGAATTCAGTAGGACTTTGCATTAAATTTACAACTATTCTGTGACACAGGAATGCTTAAGAGGATCCAACATTAAATTTGTAAATGTTATTTAAATGTTTAAAGGAATTTTAGCTACATCAATTTGTATGAAGAGTTATTTGGTTGGGGAACATAATCTTTTAAATTTACCAGCTAAATTTAAAAGGATGGGACAAAATGATCATTCTTATTTTTTAAATATATATTATAAACTTTTTTTTTTTTTTTTTTTTAGATCAGTGCAGGGATTGAACCCAGGTCCTCATGCATGCCAGGCAAGAATTCCACCCCTGAACCACATCCCCAGCCTGATAACATACTTTTATATACACTTTGGAACAAATGTACTTATGAATAAAATAACTATATCTGTAGGTTGACTTTCTTTTCATGCTCCAAGGTCAGGTTGGATGTTAGCTCTATTGGCAGCACAATGACTAACTCATTCAGATTGTCTCAAGACTGTTTCAGTTTTAAAAACTGAAAGTCCTGACTCCCTGGTATCTTGGCAAGCTGGATGTTGGTCACCCTTACTGACCAACACACAGTCCCATCTGATGTTCAAGGAGCCTGTGGCAGCCTGCTGTGTAGGAATGTGTAGGTTGAGACATCCTCCTCACTAACAGAGCAGCAGAGGGCTTCAGAGAAGTCAAGATGGCCTGGCCCATGCCATCCATTGGCTTTGGTTACCCTCCTTCCTTCCATTCTTTCTCCACTCTGATCGGTTGATTTATTTCTGAGATTTTTCCCACCACCCATAGAGAGAAGAACTCCTTTTTGGAATGAATGTGATCATTTCTACTTTTAGATTCTTGATCCCACCAGGCCCATGGCCCAGGATTAACTTCAGGAGAGATTCTCTATAAACTCCTGTGTAGAATCGTCCAGGCGGTGTGCCACAGCTGGTGCAAAATGCATGGAACTGGAAACTATGAGGATGCTCGGGATGAGGATTACTGGACATTGTTATAATTTTTCTGATTATTTGAAATATGCTTCTTACCATTTCACTTTTATAACAGCTTTATTGAAAGATAATTCACATTTTGAGGTATGTAATTCATGATTTTATACCATATATTCAGAGTTGTATAATCATCACCATGATCAATTTTATAATATTTTCCCCATCCCCCCGCAAAACCTCTAGACCCATGAAACCACCCTCCATTTCCTTTACCCTCCTCTTGCCCCACCTCAACCATAAGCAATCAATAATTTACTTTTTGTCTATGGATTTGTCTTTTCTATAGCTGAATGTTATTCCATTATGTGTACATATCACATCTGATCTTTTCATTAGTTTATGGACACTTGGGTTGCTTGCATATTTTCATCATTATGAATAATGCTGCTATGAATACTTGTTTTCAAGTTCATTCTTCATGGGTATATACCTAGGAGTGAAATATCCAGGTCATGTGATAACTGTTTAATCTTTTGAGGAACTGCCAGGCTGCTTCCAAAGCAACTACACCATTTTTACATTGGCACTAGCAATGCACGAGATCTCAATTACTCTACATCCTCTCTAGCGCCTGATATTATCTGTCTTTTTTATTACGGCCTCTCTAGTAGATGTGAAGTGACATCTCATTGCAGTTTTGATTTGCATTTCCCTGATTGCTAATGATGTTGAACATCATGCGCTTATTAGCCATTGTGTATCTTCTTTGAGAAAAAAAAAGTTTAATTTAGATTGTTTGCCCATTTTAAAATTGGGTTCTTTGTCTTTTTATTTGAATCCTAACAGTGCTTTATACATCTAGATATGTCTTCTATCAGATATGTGATTTATTAAATGTTTTCCACCCTTCTGTAGTGGTCTTTCCATTTTCTTTATGGTGCCCCTTGAAGCATAAAGGTTTTGATTTTTGATGATGTCCAATTTATCTAATTTTTTTTCTTGTGTTGCTAGTGCTTATGGTGCTTAAGATTTAATTTGCTTTTAGAAGTTATCCTGAGCTGGGCGCTATGGCGCACACCTGTCATCCCAGCAGCTTGGGAGGCTGAGGCAGGAGGATCACCAGTTCAAAGTCATCCTCAGCAATAGGGAGGCATTGAGCAACTCAGTGAGACCCTGTCTCCAAATAAAACACAAAACAGGGCTGGGGATATGGCTCAGTGGTCGAGTGCCCCTGAATTTAATCCCCAGTACCCCCTCCAAAAGGTTATCCTGAGATGAAAATATTATTATGTGATACAAAACGAATATATTATTTATAGCTATATAGAGCAATTTAAATACCTGGAAAATAGATATACACTCTAGAACATGTACACACACATAATTTTTTTTTTTCTCCTTAGCAACAAGAAGACCAAAAACCAAGGAGCGCTCCTAGATTCACCCCCACTGAAGGATAGAGGGACATCTTTACTGGACAGATTGCTTTAAAATGTCAGAGGAGGGTGAAGTGGGGCTGAAGGAGGAATTTCATCCATGTGAATCACACCCTGTTCCAATAACAAATATGATAAATGTGGAAAACATTTCATGAAGTTCTCTGATATGATTTTTTTTTTCCCACTGGGGAAAGAGGTAGGAGTCCAGAAAACCCTATGAAGACATTTCTCAGGATTGGAGGTCAGGGGAAGAATTCATTGTCTTACTCAGAGGCACCATAAAACAGATTTGGGGAATTCTTTCAACCCCAGAAATTAGTGGAAGTTTGTTTTTCTGAAGACCGAACACTAGATGTCTCAATTTCATTGCGTTCGTCATGAGAAATGCAGAAAATTACACACACACACACACACACACACACACACACACACACACACAGAGGCACAGAAACATGGGCTATGCAGTGCTATATATGATGTAGCTTTTACAGGTTGTTAGAATTTAATTCCAATCAAACCTTCTTAGAAACTAGGATAATCTCTTTGAAATTCTTAACTAAAACCTCATTGAAATAAATATCCATAAGGTCCTGTCATTTTCTGGATGAGGAAATAGAAAAAATGATATTGAGAGATTTTTTTTTCTAAGCCATAGATGAAAGCACCATTAGAAATCAGGTTAGAATTCAAAACCTACCTCTAGAAAGCAGCCAATGCCAGTGAGTAATTTACAAGAAAACGTGTGTTAATGTAAAAATAGAAAGTGCACCAGATGATACAGATAGACACGTGGTACAGAGAGAAAAGCATGGATTAGGAGCCTAAGGACAGATTTAATCCCCGAAACAACTGCTTTGCTGCTGCATGATGCCATTCAAGACCCGGATCCACCCCCACATCCCATTCCCACCCCTGCTTTGCTGGGTCTGGGGTGGACTTGGTCCTGCCTGGATAACTACCGAGAAAGGACAGGAATAAAAGGCTCATTGTTAGTCCAGGAACCTCTTAGGTGACATTTTTTGGTACTTCCTGGGAAATCACCCTTTGCCCTCACCTCTGGCCCATTCAGGGTCATTGTCCACCCCCACAGCCCTCCTCACAGTGCAGTGCAACCAGGCTCACGTGGGTGTGCTCTCGAGGTGGAGCTACAAGAGGAGTTGAAGGGTCCTCGGTTCCGTTCCCAGACTGCCTGGTTTCATTGAGAAGGAACAAATGACGCCTGTTTGCAGAGCCACACAATGAGCTGCTTTCTCCTAGACCCTGACCTTTCCCCGGGAAGAGGCCAAGCACACTTGTCAACTCTGCCTATGTGGTAAACAGAGCAAGAAGGCCTTCCTTGTTAGTGAGGGCATCTAGAAGCCACTGGAGCTCTTCACACAGGGCCCCGGGTTGTCGGGTTGGTGGCCGCGATACAGTTTTACTGTAGAAATGGAATACTTAAAGTTAAAATGTAATTTGTTTAGTTGGATTTGGATTGGCCTAGATGATGGTCAATGACTGCCAACATGGGAGTCCTTCTGCCCTGACTATATATAGCCATTGAGTGACTGGGAATCTAGTATCCTTTTAGTGGCCACCCTCTGCCCCTTTGCCAGGAATTGGTCTTTGTGGACTGCTGAAGGCTTTTGAGGAAGGCAGAACATCCTTCTATGCTTTCTTGCTGTTTTTAGCCTTGTGTGAAGGTCTGAGGCTCGGACTGGTGTGGAATCTTCTGACCTGGAAGATGGACATTAAAGACAGAGTTAACAGGGTGAATAAAGGCCCAGGTCCTTGTGGATACAACTGAGCTTCAGATTTGCCTGCTTTGGGATTCCTTGTATTTTTTTCCTGTGGATTTCAGTCCAAAGCATCCTGACTGATATACAAGCTTCTTTCCCAGGTGATCCAACACTATCAGGCATGAGATAAATTTTCAGCCAACAATTTATAAAACACTCTGGCTTTATTGAGGTTTCAAGAAAGACTCGGGAGGATTTCTGAGGAAGTTTGTGTCATTACAACACAGACAAACTGGAAATTGCATCAGGCTGGAGGGCTATGGAATCTCACTTCCTGTCAAGACAATCCTGTGTGCTTCAGAATAGACTTCCTTTCTTATTTAGTTATTTCTCTCCCTAGAGGATTTTAAACTGAAATCCACCCATCCATCCATCTATCCATCCATTCATCTATCCATCCATTCATCCATCCAGTAAATATCTATTAAACCCCATTCATGTGATCATCTACCAGTGTGGCCCTGATGGGGTCTCTGGGTCCCTTTAGCAGGGTCCCATCAGCATTGTGGTGACTGGGCAATGATGTGGGTCATGGGCTATGAATTCTTTGGTTCACAGCCTCCTCCTTTCATAGCTGGGCTTTCGTGAAGGTGGTGTCGGAGGAAATCCTTGGGGGAACCCAGCCTAACAAAGGCTTATCCAGTGCCAATTATGCCAGGGCCACATAGTTGGGTGTGGGGTCAGAGACATACTGCCATTTTGATTCAGGAATCATTCCATCAAAACACATGGAATGGGTGCTGCTGGCTTAGAAGAAAGTCTCTGGAAGAAGACAAGAAATTCTGTTTTACCAAAGTTCATTTGACAATGAGGACATAGACCAGAGAGGTTAAGTCACTTGACTGATGTATGTTAAAATCCATCAAGCTATACACAAGATTTGCACACTTTACTGTGGACATGTTTTATTTCAATAAAAAAGTAAAAGGGAACAAAAGAAAAAATGACCTTTAAAATTTCTTTGCCACCATTCAAGAAAGGAATGAAGTACTTTGTATAAGGAAATATGAATGATATTCTACACATTTTAATAATACTGGAACTGGTCCATTTAATTTGTATTTTTCAGTGTTCTTCTGCTAGAAGCTCTTCTAAGTTTTTTTTTCTCCCCATTCCTGGGTGGGCTTAAGCTCTTCTAAATCTTAAGTTGATATTTCAAGTTCAAGGAGATGCTTCCAAGTGGGTTTTGTCTTCTGCAGATTATACCTGACAGGGGTATAGCTACCTGTGTTAATCTTAGAGTTCAGAGTTAGGTCTTCAAATCCTTGGCTCCTACTCTAGGTTAGAAACAGTCGGTCACAAAGATTCGGAATGCTTCTTTGGAAACCACTTGTAGGTGCCTTTTGGACATGTGCACTTTGCTTTGGCCAATTGAGTTTATCACAACTTAATCTCACAAAAAGGAATCCTAAGGGTAGCAAATGTTAGAATACCCATCTTATCCACAGTACCTATCTTATCTTATCCCACCTAAAGAGGCAGAGGAATGCAATTCTAATAATCAGCAAAAGGGGAGTTTGTTGGCTCACTGAAAACCCAGGAACAGAAGAAACTTTAGGAATGGCTGGATCCAGGGTTCAAATAATGTCATTTAGACTCAGTTTTCCTCTACCTTGAGGCTCTTCTGTGTCTGTCATATCGCAGGTCCCAAGTTGGACCCAGTCAGTTCTGGATTTTCCCTTGTGGTGGCAACATGGAAGCAGTACCTCCAGACTCTGCATTCCCCCTGTTCCAGTGAGAAGAGATATGTACTGACTGTTTCTCTTACAGCATTCCCAGCAGAGTTATTAAGTCCCATTGGCTCTGAGTGGGCCACATGCACTTTGCCCAATCCCTGTGGTCATGGAAATGCAATGATTGATTGACTTAGCCTAAGAATACTTCAGCAGAGCTCTACCCAAGCCAATGGACAACTTTCTTTCTCTCCCAAAGGGCTCCCTGGAGTCGTTGTGCCTCTCTTTCTCCTCTGGTTTCAGAGGATCGACACACCTGTGCCCAGGGGCTGTGAGGCGCTGTTGCCCAGCTGCCCTATGGCTTGGCTGCCTGGATAGGGATCAGGCCATGTGCCAGTGGCTCCTGTACTTGACATTCTTACCTGGCCTCTCAGGCTGGCGGCATTTCAGCTCTGTTCAATGGTGCTTAGGTCCCTACCGCTCCCTTCCCCATCCACAAAAATGCAAGGTTTCTTCTACTTTTCTCAGGTGGACAACCCTCGGGGGCATCCCTTTGCTCTGCTGATGACCATTTGAAAAGCCTGGCCAGTTGTCCATTAGATGGAGCTCTTGCTCAGGGCCTAGGGGGTGGCTCATGGAAGCTTCTTATTCTATGTGGTTGGTCCACAGGCACCTTCTGTTATCACCATTCTCAGGGCTGTACCACTCCACCCCACACTGTATTACCCATCCCTCTTCTGTAGGGGTCTTTGCATGTGACCTCAGGCCATTGCGTGTGTGTGTGTGTG